ATGGTCACCCTGTTGTCCCCCCGGACTGGTCCCAGTTCTGATTGTCCTGGGGGGTTACGGTGGGGTGTAGCCCCACCAATCAGGTCCCCAGACCCACCCCCACCACCCCCCCAGCCCCTCTACCTGTAAGAAGGAGCAGGGGGTCCCCATGGTCACGTCCAGGGTCACCTTCCCCAGCACCAGCTGCACTTTTCCTGACTTTCGGATGAGCAGTTTCCCCACTTGTCCCTCGGGGAGGTCGGCCAAGGTGCAGGTGTTCTCCGCCTGCCTCGCCTCCTGCCACCATGAGAAGAGTTGGGGGGGACACACACAAATCACCACCTTGTCCCCCCATAACTTCTCCAGCCCCACCACCCTCCCCAACTCCCCTAACCTGGCTCTTCTCCTGCTTCACCACCATCACTTGCCCTTCCTCGGTCTGCAGCTCCGTCTTGATGGGTTTGGTGTCCTGGGTGGGGGGTTGTCCCGGGAGGGTGTCGGGCAACTGGAGGAAGAGGAGTTCCTCCTCGGTTGAGAGGCTCAACCGCTGCAGCAGCTCGGCCACCGAGACGTCCCGGGGAAAACCCGGGGGGGGTCCTTTGCTTTGTGCTGCCCTGGGGGGCAGGGGGTCCTCATCACAGGGCTCTTCTTTCACTGGCACAGGGAGGGAGAGGTGGTGGGTGGGCACGGGGGAAAAGGGGGACACCCCCCTCCTCCTCTGCCCACTGGGATCATGGAATTGTCAAAGTTGGAAGGGACCTTCTAGAGATTGTCTACTCCAACCCCCTGCCAAAGCAGGGCTGCCCAGAGCACATCACTCAGGAGCATCTTGAAGATCTCCAGAGAAGGGGACTCCACACCCTCCCTGGGCAGCCTCTGCCAGGGCTCTGCCACCCTCACCCCAAACAACTTCTCCCTCCCATTGCAGTGGAACTTCCCCTGCTCCAGCTTGTGCCCGTTGCCCCTCGGCCTGGCCCTGGCAACCACGGAAAAGAGTCCGGCTCCATCCTCCTTCAACCCACCC